CTCTCTCTCTGAGTTACTACGTTCGGCCATACTTCAGGCCCCTGATAGCTTCAACAGCTTACTTGATATTTAGGGGCCAACTACTTAGAAATCTTGATAGCTTTGGTTGTATCTTTTTACTTGCATTAGTTAAGTTTTGCTTCTTATTACTTTGATTTCAAGCCCAAGTGGAGGCTTTGCAGTATGCTCTGAGAAGGAGTCGACTTAAGTTCTTATTTTGAGAAATAAAGGGTAATTAACCCTTCTTGAGTTTTATGTTTCTGAACTAAAGCGATTATTCGCTTACCTGTTCACAAGGTTCCTACACACTTCGCTGTTAGCTAAAAGGTTGGAACCCCACAATTTAATTGGAATAGACTTATTAGACTCATACCCACATAGTGAAGTCAATAAAAATGGGTATTTATTTCTACCATAAATCATTTTTCTCAGTGGGAAGAGATAGCATCCCTAAAAGAAGCCTCCACTAAGAACATTTCAGGCTTTTTTCTAAATAAATATATTCTAAAATACTGAGCTCCTTTAAAAGTAATTTCAGATAATGGTAAACAGTTTATTAGTCAAATATTCGATGGACTATGTGCAGGATTTGGCATACAACATTTAAAAATGCTACCTTATCAATCTCAACCAAACATAAATAAGACCGTAGAAGGTAACTAAGAATACAGTTAAGATCATATGTTGCTATGTGAAAAACTATCATAAATGCTATCATGACTGTGTTAATGAATTAACATTTGCTTTAAGATTGGCTAAACATGACACAACATGGAAGACACCAGCAGAATTATTTTGGGGAAAAAATTAATTACCCCCAGGATTATTAATTGTGTGTGTGTTCAAAAGAGAACAGCAGAGTTTAAAATGTATGATATACAGAAATTAACAGATCAAATCATCAAGAATTTGGAAATTACAAGGGGAAAGCAGAAGATATATTGTGGGAGGAAAAGGCAAGAAGTTAATTACGAAATGAGAGATAAAACACATAAGTGAAAACATTCATTATCATGTGCTGTAGAAGATAAAGTAGGAAAGTTTTATCCAAGATTTGAACAAGCATATGTTAGTTTCTGTGGCAGAAATGCCCAATGGAGGAAATTCCACCACCACAGAAGAGAAGGAGACGAAAGTTCCACTGATCCAGTCCGCCTAAGCTCTAATTGAGAAATTCAATGGAAACTTCAAGTCAGAGACCATATCCCCAAACTATAAAGCAGGCAGCAGAGACAGAGTTTTCTCAAGGACATGAAAAAGCTAGAAGATTTCAGCAAAGACCCCAGAAGATAAAACAGCAAATTCAGCCAGACAGTCAGACACAACCCAGGAGAAAAATTAGAGTAGGGCAAGTAAGCCTATATAGTTCATGGGAGGGTTTCATAAGTGAATGGAAGAGTACAGAAAAAAGAAATTAATTTTAAATTTTGCCTCAAGCAAGGTCATTTCATTTGTTCTTAAGTAACAAGAAGCTCTGAATTTAAGTATGCATTTTTCTCAATTTCAAGTTACAAATAGAAATGCTGTTTTAGACCAAGAGACTGATGCTGAGGTTAATTTGGTGAAATTGTAAAGTAACTTTAAGCAACTTATGTACAAATGATGTAAAATTTAATGATTTTATTAATTTAATAATTTAATTAACAAATGATGTTTTTTCGCAGTGTACACATGCTCATAATACAGTCAAAAGTCGTTAATCTGGACACCCATAATCCGGAATGATCTATAATCCAGACCTCAAAACTACAATCTTTCTGCACATGCGTCAACGCATAATGCGTTCACGCATGCGCATAGGCGTTTACGCATACGCATAATACTTTTACGCATGCGCATAATACGTTTCGCATGCACGTTTAATGTATAACGGACAGTATAAGCTAAGCTCTAATCATCTATTTCAGTTAATGTTGCAGATTGCGTTGTTCCTTAATCTTCGAATTGGATCCGGCTTATTATTTTTCGCAGACTGTTAGAGCAATTTTATAAAAGTAAGCTTGAACTTTGGATTATGTCAAATAAAATTTCCGATGCTGGAGCTGACAAAGGATCTACAAAGCGAAGGTATGTTTCGATGTCCATCAAACAAAAAGTGGAATTGCTGCAAAAATGGATAAAGGCATATCCTTTGTTTCTCTAACCATTCCAAAATCTGTTTATCAATTTCACTCTGCTCTGCGGGGGGAGGGGGGACGTCGTGGTGCACAAAGAACTGAAAGTTGATCTGTCAGCACTATCCTTATCTTCAGAGCAGATGTTTTTATTTTATTCAGCTTATAATTCCTTACTAAATGTAGTATTTCATCTCGATGTATTCCGTCTTTGATATGATTTAAATCAAATTCCTCGTCATTATAAATATCACGAGTACACATCAAGTAGTTTTGTGGTTGCAATTTTCTAATTTCGACTATGGGTAATGTACGCTTTACGCATACGCGCATTGAAAGAAATGTTTAATAAAGTAAACAAATAAATATCAAGGTTTTTTTTTTTTTCTAAATTTTGACACCCTTTAGATCATAATTGTTCTTTATTTTATAAATTATGGTTTCATATTTTCAATTTTATAGTTTCTGCATGCCATCTTACCAGATTTAAACTGATGATCTATAATCCGGAAAAATCAATAATCCGGAATCGCCAAAGTCCCGATGAGTCCGGATTAAAGACTTTTGACTGTATAGCAAGTTCTTATAATGATAATATAAATCTCTTATTTAATTGGGGGGGGGGATTTTTTTCTAAAATTCTCAAATATTCCAGATACTTGAGGTTTTCAATTAGTTGAATACTAGATAGTCAAGTTTTTACTGTATTCTATATTAAAGCAATTTCATCAAAAGCAGCTATCACTCTGTTTTGTTGAGGAATACATACAATACACACAATGAGAAACTAAGCTTACAAAGGAAATGTAGACTTTCTGACAATGCCTCTGTCTATCAGGCAGAGTTAGTGGCCCTGCGAGAGGCCTTGTATTGGCTTATTTCTAATTCTGCGATAGATCCTGTAGAAATCTATAGTGACTGCGAAAATGCAATTGTTTCAATTATGGGTGTTTGTCCAAGTAACGATCTAATTAAACAGATAAAAGACATGCTCATTTTTCTTAGCGCTTTCAGAGATATTAAACTCTTTTGGACGAAGAGTCATACTGATACCATTGGTAACAAGTTAGCAGATAGATTGGCAAAGGCTGCCACTGAAAATCAAATTATTGATTTTGAAGTAAACACTTCCTTTGACAGTTTGAAATCCCTGTTGAAAAGAAAAAGTTTGACTCTATGGCAAGCAAAGTGGAACGACCCAGATTCTAAAGGAAGATTCACTTATAATTTAATCTCAATTGTAAGTGAGAAAGATGCCTAAGTGACAAGTATCTAAACCAAGCTTTAACTAATCATGGACACTTTCCCTTTTATTATAACAGGTTTTCGATTAAAAATTGTGCTTGTCCATGTGGCATGAGTAATGTCGATATTGAGCACCTGTTGTTTAAATGCTCTTGTATGAAAAATATTGTTCTAAGATTTATTCCAGATATTGCTAAATTTAATACTTTAAAGAATCTAAGTAAAAATACAGTTACTAAATTGAAATTGTCAAATTTCATAAAATATGTATCTGTAAATGAAATAAATTTATATATTGATTGTGCTTAAAATTCCCCTGTCTGCATATAGGAAAACTAGAATGTTTATGATATTCTGTTATTTTATTTCTTTGCATATGTAAGTAATATATTTTTATGCATGCAAATAACATGTGTTATATTTTACAAAGTATGTAATAATGTGCTTTTGTTGGTGCAGCTGGTAAATCTCACCAGCTCCTAGACTTCAAGTTCATATTTTAGTTGTTTATCTATTTTAAGTTATTTCAGGTAGTAAGGTGGTAGTTCTACTGCTTAATGTGCCTGATTTATTTTAGATCTCAATGTTTTTTTAATTAAATAGCTTCACTATGCCCTGTTAAGCCTCTAATGGCGGTACAGGAAGTTCAACCAGTCATACAATACACACAACCTAGCCATTGTATAATTTAACTGCTTTAAAAAAGTGCATATTCTTATGTCTTTTTTAAAACTATTCTTCAATTCTTTTCACATAAAATACATTCTGCAATAAAAAAACATTTTTATAAGTTCTAATAAAAGTTTTAAAAATTCAACAAATTTTTTATATCTAAAGAAAAACTGCACACTTTTAAAATTCAATTACAAAATTTTACATCAAAAATTTGAATTTAAAATTTAACACTTTATTATTTTTCCCAATATGTGAAATTTTAAATTAATTTATTTCTTGCTATTTTTATCCAATTAAAATTCATGAATTTTTGTATTTTCTACTTTTTTTAAAGCAATTCATTTGAAAAGCTTTTGTCATTCTATGGTTTTCTATCTATCTTTAGTCATTCTATGTTTTTTTTTTTTTTTATAAAAAGAAAAATTCAGAAAATAAAAAACCAAAGGTACTTGAAAATTAATGCAACCACCTTGACGCAATCTGCCAATTTTTTACAGATAAAAGATAGTACTTATCAGGTGTAAGCTGGTGGTTTTCACGCCATTTTTTTAAGAAAGATTCCGAAACTATCGTTATTTATTGTAAATCAATAAAGATTATCAGCATATGAAAAAACATAATTTAGCAATTTAAAATACAAAATTTGAATTCTTAAATAGAGATTACGTACTGTATTTTAAAAAAAAACCACTCTTCTTCGAATCTTTCTAATTTTCTATGCGCTATTATTCTTTTTGATGTACAACAAAGAAGAACCCATACGAAAATAGCAGCTTTCCTTGACTGAAGGACCGTTATGAGCATGGTTGCCAGAAGAATGGTTATAAACATGGTTGCCAGAGTTTGGCACATTCTGAAAAGTTGATGACTTCTACTAAGGTGATTGCATTGATACACAAGACCACACCAAATAATCTCACATGAAATGACATAAAAATATGGAAATTCTCACAGTTATGTACTTACAATGCACATTTTATGTTCAAGTTTAGCTTTGTAGTTTTCAGCTTTACTAGAGTCACTCCAGAATGGCATCTGAAAAATAGAGGAAATAAATAAACTTTACATCAAAATATAAACACAGAAATGTAATTGTGGCAGAAAATGTTATTAAACTAAAATCAGTATGTGGTGCACGTATTAAAATGTTTCCTGCAGTCTGCTAAATGAATGAAGAAAAATAATATGCACAAAAAATGTTTTTTTCATGGGTTTATTAAATCTATTCTGGGTACTGTTAGGTTATCAGAGCCTACTGATAAATGTATGCATGTATTTGTTCATGTATTCATATATATATATATATATATATACGTATGAATGAATGCGTGTATCCACATATACGCACATACAGGCTTTCATTTCCAGCTACAATAACAGAAGATAGAATACAGACAGATAGATGTTTTCAGTTATGCAGAAGAGTACCCTATTCTGTATAACTGAAAACATCCATTGCAGAGTTGTACTATAGACATACGATTAAAAAATTAATAAATAAATAAATTATTGTTTTTAAAGACATTTTTGAGGGAAATTACATGGAAATGAAAACTATTTCTATTTCTAAAAAGGATGTGCTGTATTTCATTGTCTCAATTTAATTTTATAATACAAAATTTGGGTATTTGCATATTAGCATGACCATCTTGGTGCAGTTTGCTGATCCTTGCTGGTTGCAGATCACTTTGCTACAGTTTGCAGAAGGGGGGGGGAATTATATCTTATAACAAAATATTATTTATTACAAATATACACAGTTTACATTTCAATTTGGTATTTATCTTAAAAGTCAGCCAATAAATCTCTATCAAGCAGGTTTTTGTTTCTTTTGTTCTAGTGAGAGTTATGTAGTGATCATTTTAAGAAGAGATTCGAAACAATTGTTCTCTTTAGAAACTTGGTGCAAAAACTGACTTCAAGAACAAAAAATACCATCATTTTCCTCTAAAAACTGTTAGAACCTGGAGTACAACAAAAATGGAGGTGGTGCTTGCTGAAACAGAACTATTATGCACATCATTCAGAAAATTTGATTTCAACTAAGATACAACTACTTACAAGATACAATGCTAATATGTAAAAACTTTACTTTTCATTGTAAGGAAACAGTATTTTTAGCACTTTTAATTACCAAAAAAAGAATTCTAATAAGCCAACACTTAAGGTACCTGGAAAGCATTTGGCTTATCAAGAAAAACTAGCACTATTGCATTATCTACCCAACCATCCTGCAAAGTTGCCAACCATTAGCAACAATTTTTTTTGCAAACCTAACACATAAGAAACAGTAGTCATTTTATAAAATAGAAGTATGCTGAAAATTATACAAAACAGCAATGAATTAACGAAGTTAAAAATGCAAGTAACATGCATAATAAACCATAAAGCATATTAGAACAAAACATTAAAGTAATAAATGAACTAAATTAAAAATGAAACAAACACCCATACTAAAAAAAATAAAAAAAAAAAAAAAAAAAAAAAAACTTAACTTTCTATTTTCCCTGTCGTTTGTCCATGTCTACAACAATCTGTTTTAACTTAAAAATCACAGAATTACATATTGGCTCTGTAGAACAAACTTGCATTGCTCTCCATGTCCACATTGATCTGTTTTAAATTTAAAAAAAAATCACAGAACTCAAAAGAAACTGTATCACAATCACCTACAAACATTTCATAAACTACTTTCAGGCTGCAAAACTTCTATAATAATGAAACATTGGAGATAAATAAAAGCATGCATCATTTTATATGCATTTTATTACTTTACTACTGTTAATAAAAATTAATCTGGACAATATTTACATTTTTATAGCCAGTGGATACTACTCAGCTGTCTGCTTTAAAATCTCTTCAATACAGTCTTGTTTTCTTTTCAGGCGTTTTCTCCAAATGAATTCCCATAATATTAACTCAAATTCTCCAATGTTTGTAAAATACAACTTCATGGGATGTGCATTTCTACATAAGGCAAAACACTATATTTCTAAAAAAATACAACATTTCTTTTTTTATTAGCAGGAAAACTATACAGTTGCATTATAATTTGTAACAAGGGGGGAGGACTACTAATCAAAAGCAGAAACCACAAACATAACCCTTGATATGATAACATAATGATGCACATTTAGTGGGTTGCCAGATAAAATGCATTTTTCTAAAATTGTGAGTTGCCTACTTCAGCGCCACAGCAAAAGACGGAGCTATAAAAACATTGAGCATTGGGCAACGTATGTCAAAAAGTGTATTGCTTTTCTGCAGTTTTAAAATCTGAATCAATTTGACGCGTAACGTGATTTTGAGTAAATTTGTCCAATGCTTGTAAAGTTAATTATAGCTACTGTATAGGAAAGTTAATTATACCTATTGATGCAATCTAAAGCCTCAGTCTTACTCGGTAATACCAAACACTTAAGTCTCTAAGCATCTTCATTTTATTTATTTATTTTAAATCTCAGCGAACTTCTCTCTGTAGGAATACTCCAAGGATATCACACATGCCACTTCCCTACCCCCCAAAAAAAAACATTTTAGTTTTTCTAACATATACTTCTTTTGTTCCTTGTGGGAAAACTACATGAAAACTTCTTGTTGGAAAGCAAACTTCAGATACACGATCTGAAAGTTATGTCAGTTCTCGTAATACTGATTTTCAAAAAAGAACAGCACGGATAGTTCCAGTGAATCAAAAAATTTATGGGACATATGAACCATTTAAAATTTTAGTGAATAAGAATTCAACTATTATTCCAAAACTTAATATTTTTCATCACATTATGTGTCTAAATACCATGCTAAATCTATTAAGAGGAATAACATTAAATAGTGCTAATGAATAATTGAGATATTTTAAATACCTTATATTTAAATATGAAATGAAGGTTAAAAAAAAGTATGGGGCATTGTGGTACAAGTGCTATAAGAAGCCAATTGTAGCGGGCTTTTATTTTTTGTAAAACACCTTGAATAAGGATTTTAAACCTTAAGTTTTCAGAGCTACTTTATTAACATCATTGAAGAAATTGAGATCTCTTTTGATACGAGCAAACTTACAATCTTTCATTAGAATCATAAAAAATTTGAGAAAAAAATAGCTGATTACTGAATTTGAAATAAAATATGCTATCGAATTTAATTTTGAAGTACTGAAAGACAACTTTACTTGAAAATAAACCATGAAACAGGTTTCCAAAGCATCTAAGGATATAGAGTGAATGTGAAAAAAGTGAATCATTATAAAAGTTATTTATAATCTAAAAACCAGTGAAGTCTGACTGATTTAAGAGCCCATCAAATATTAAGCATATCTAGTAATGTAAAAATTCTTACAAAACATTTTAAGAAGAAATAACTTTTACAACCGGATAGCTAGAAGCAAACCATTTCTCAGAAAGTGTATCAAAGGGCATGATTACAATTCACTAAGAACTGTATTAAAGTCTCAAAAATCTTTGGAATTTGGCTTTATGTAAATAAGAGTAAAGTAACTAATAAAACATATCTAATAAATATATTTAATAAATATATTTAATCAGTCCATATAAATATGGACTGATTAAATGAAAATGGTATGGTAAAAATTCGATACTGAATTTCAAATGAAGAATCTTATTCCTTCAGTAAAACATAGGCAACCACATGGTCTTAAGCATGAGTGGTTGAGGCATTTAAATTCTATATTTTATTGATGGCTAAATTGATAATTTTATGTATTTGGATATTTTTAAATAAAGTTTGAATTACAGTAAAAAATAAGCATACCCATCATATTAAAACTGCATCAAAATTATGATCTGTAGCATAATGTTGATTTTTTCAAATTTTTGCATTGCATATATCAATCCCCAAGTAATCAAAAGGGTTGTGTTTAGTGCAGATATCAACCCTATAAATGCAGACTTGAAATCATTTGCAAGGCAAAAGTAATAATGTGAAAATTTCCAAAAGATATATACTTAAAGAAAAATCACCGCAACTTATGGAAAACAGAAAAAAATCTCAATCAAAATCTTATGAAATTCAGGTCTAGAAAAGTCAGTGAATTTATGAAAATGAAAAAAGGCCCAACACATTATTACAGCAATTTGTTTTAAATATGTTTGTGTGACTCAATACCTTTTTACCATTGCTTTCTCATTTTGACATGAAATGTGTAACATTTAATATTCATTTTATTTTTAATTAATTTTATAGTTTTTGATTTTGTTCAGCTCTAAGATATAGCATAAATAAATATTTCTTGTTTAAATGAAATATTTAATTATTCTTTCAAATAAATATATGAAAGCTTATTTTCCCTTATACTATTTTGACTCAATGTATTTAATATTCATTTTATTTTTAATTAATTTTATGGTTTTTGATTTTGTTCAGCTCTAAGATATAGCATAAATAAATATTTCTTGTTTAAATGAAATATTTAATTATTCTTTCAAATAAATATATGAAAGCTTATTCTCCCTTATACAATTTTGACTCAATGTATTTAATATTCATTTTATTTTTAATTAATTTTATGGTTTTTGATTTTGTTCAGCTCTAAGATATAGCATAAATAAATATTTCTTGTTTAAATGAAATATTTAATTATCCTTTCAAGTAAATATATGAAAGCTTATTCTCCCTTATACTATTTTGACTCAATGTATATACATGCAAGTACCATAAAACAATCAAATTTAGAAAACACTACATGACACGAATGTGCAAATTCAAAGGATACAATTATATTGAATTATTTGCTGTACACCTGAAATGCTGCAAGTTGAGATAAATACAGTCAGTGACAGTGGTGACTAAGTTATCATTGCACTAATATGCTTTACGTAGCACTGATAGAGATTATACCAAACTGTTTATAGCATCTGTCTTCTGTTGGAGAAATCCCTTATGCCAGTATCAGAAGCTACAACAAAGTGCAATCAGCAATACCTAGCACTGCAACATTCATGTATGCAGGTCTTCAGCTACTTTGGGTAAAATCCTAGTATACGGTGCAGCCTTGGCGTGACTTTGAAAATTATCACCATCACCAAAAATGATCCAAAGAATGTCTATATATATATATGTAGAATAAGGAACTGTAGTTTTCCACGCGAAGGTGGTAAATTGACTGTATAATACATCAGCAAGTGCAAGGTGGTAAATTGAACTGTTTAATACATCAGCAAGTGCGAGTAGGCACTAATCGGTTATGTGATAAGACTGGTAAAACTATACAGAATCCTGTTTGTATCAAACGGCACTTGTATTTAATCTAATTTCTACCTTTTCTGATTATCTTTATTAAATGTTCTGTGGTGTGGAAAACATCGGCCGGGATATTTGGATAATTCATACTTGGATACTTCAGAAAAGGTACAAATTATCTTTATTTCTGATTATTGTTTCTGATTATCTTTATTAAATGTTCTGTGGTGTGGAAAACATCGGCCGGGATATTTGGATAATTCATACTTGGATACTTCAGAAAAGGTACAAATTAGATTAAATACAAGTGCCGTTTGATACAAACAGGATTCTGTATAGTTTTACCAGTCTTATCACATAACCGATTAGTGCCTACTCGCACTTGCTGATGTATTAAACAGTTCAATTTACCACCTCGCACTTGTGATTTGTATTATACAGTCAATTTACCACCTTCGCGGAAAACTACAGTTCCTTATTCTACACCTTCACGTGTAGACATAAATCTCACCACCTTCGCGTGGGATAGCAGAAGAGTCTCTGTCATACTCCTCTTTCACCTCGCTGCTGGCGCATCGGTGAGGCCCTCTGGTGGTTGTGTCGCACTTCCATATACTATATATATATATATACTATACACACATAGTATATGTATATACACACATAGTATACATACTATATACATAGTATATACTATGTTTAACTGTATATTTTCTTTAAATGACCCGTTAATATAACATAACAAATCGTTACATAATCCTGTTAAAAATATAACAGGAGTAACAGTTTCAGAAATTATGGTTTCACCATTATTATCTTTCATTTACAATTCCTAATTTTACCAAGCTGGAAGGCCTCGTAATACTTCTAAACAAACATATCCATCAGTAGGACTGTCCTTTTGAGCTAAAGAGTGTGTTTCTCTGCTCTGGTGGCCCAGGGTGCCTAGGCAGTTACTTGAAAAGGCCTCCATTTCTTGCATAATGTAACTGGCCTTTGAGAACTGCACTAATACATTCCACAATAAAAAATATATATAATAATTTGCTGTAAAATTATCATTGGCTGTTATGAGTTTTAGTTCCGTTTACATCATCATAATTATGCAAGAGTCATATGACATAGATTTTTCTCGAACTGACGCAGTGCGAATAGATGTTGCTATTTTTAGAATAGAGAAGGGAAATTAATTTAAGCGGCTAATTTAATTTTTTACATATTCTTTTTCTTACATATATGTAAACATATACACATGGGTTACAGCTTATTATTTTTGTTAATATAAAAGACGTAATAGACGCTTCAGAAAAAAATTGATGACATAGCAAATTATTTATATTAATTAGCATTTATTATGAAATGAAAAAACTGGCATTAGTTATTTCTGAGAAACAGTATAGCTTCGGCACGTTCTTCTTTCTTGGAGAGCAAAAGATCCGATTTGATAAACTTCAGAGCTAAGATTAGTCTTTCCACATTAACTTGAGTAGGAGGAAGAGCTGTTACTGTTAGGGCTAACTTCTTTTAACCTTTCAGGATAGATTTTTGTAAGTTCTAAAAGACATGTCTTGCAAGCGAATCAAAAATCTCTTTTTCTTCATAAGCCCTGTAGAAATTTTGTTTGTAATTTTTCATTTTTATATCTAAAGGCTCTTGGTTTTTTATTTTCATTCGCTTTGCCTTAGCCTTTTCAATATTATCCAAAAATATTTCTCAAAATTTAATTCATCACTAAAAGAGGATGTGGAAACTCAATTACAATGTCTGCAATT